TGTATTCAAAAACAAGCAATCTTTTTTTATTTTCTTTCCATTTTGCTACAGTACTGGGGTATTAAATTTTAGGGTTTGTTATTTGAAAGGTTCAATAAACAAAGAATAAGAAGTTCTAAATAAACAATTACCAAAGCAAAATACAATTATTTCTGACTATATTCTGCCTAACAGACATTGGACAACTCTAAGCTTCTCAAGTTTTCCACCATTCCCTAGTGCTGGCATTTTTCTAAAATTGGCACTTTTCCAATTCCAACAACAAAGAATAAATGTCATGTGTTGCATAAGAGTAAGCTGATTAAACCCTTGAACTTTAAACTACCCTCCTCTATCTGAAACAGTACATTTTCTGAATGCAAGCTATTCATTTTTTAATTTAATTTTTTTAAAACATCACTGTCACTTCCCAATAGTCACTTCAACCCTCCCCCCTCAAAAAAAGTGCCCCCTGTAACAGAGAAGTATTTAAGTACAATAAATACACTGTTTGACAGATTAGGCCTCATACCTCAATATACTCCCCCATCCCAATCCACAATCATCCCTTGTAATAAAAGAAAAACAGTCAAGCAAAACTGATAATAGTCTGTAACTGCCACACTGTCCATCCCCTTTCTCCACCGAAAGGAAAGTGTTTCATCATGTACTCTGGAATCAATCTTGGTTTGGTTTTTAAATTTATTTAGAGAGGGTATACCAAAAGTCTTAGAGTAGTTTTAAGCTTTAATAACTTCAGAAGCATAAATGGTACAAAATGTACAAAAGACATCATTTGAAAGTTTAATTATTTATATTTCTTTTACACTTATTTAGTATTGTGAATTCTGAAAAATTATTTTAACAGGAGCATCTTGTTGTTATTCATTATGTATGTAGGTTTCTGGACAACACTTCCTTAGACTAGTGGATTAATAGAGGAGGTCCTCTCGTTTGACCTTGATCACCTGAATTATATCCAATGGGGTACTGTCAAAACTGTCATATGTATCAAAACTCCATTCCTTGGATGACCTTAACGCTAAGATTAAAAATGCAATCCTTTCAATTACTGATCAGCAGTTGATTTGAGTCAAAAAAATCGACTCTAGTGATACACAGCATTGGCAGTTATGGTGAAGTTTAATTTTTTTTTAAATCTATCAATATTTTTTAATTTTAAATTAATCCATCTAATTTTTTTTATTAACTTGTGACATTTAGCTTCTGAAGTTGTTAAGAAGTTAAGAACTGCAGTAAAATTTCTTGGACGTCCTGGATTATAGTCATTGTATATATTATTCTCCTAGTTTAGCTCTTTGCTCTACAAGAGTTCATAGAAGTCTTCCCATGTTCCTCTGAATACACTTATTATTTCTTATAGCAAAACAGTACTACTTGATATTCACATAATTACAATTTGTTCAATATTTTCCAATCAATAAATGGTGCTATGAATATTTACATGTGGGACCTTTAACTTTGACATTCTTGGGGTACATACCCAGTAATGAATGCAGTTTTTGAGTCAAAAAGTTTTGACAGTTTAGAAATTTTTCTTGTACAATTCCAAAATGTTTTCCAGAACAGCTGGACTACTTCATAGTTCCACCAACAGAGCACTACACTGACTAATTTCAATGTGAGTTACTTTAAAAATTTTTAATGCATCCAAGAAGAATGTGCTACAGAATTAATCAATTACCATACATTCTGGGTATGAATACGCTAACTGCATATAACAACCTGAATTTAGTATCCCAATTCAAGCATACAGGTGCATCTTCTCAGTAGCTGTACCTTACAGAGAAGCCTACTCCATGAGTCTACTCAAAGGCAGCATGGCATTATGAGAAGAATACTACATGAAGAGTTAAGAAGACGTGGGTTTAAATACCACTTCCGACACTAGCTGTGACACCCTGGACAAGCCACTTACCCTTTCTTGGTCTCATTTTTCTCATCTCTAAAGTGGGAATAATAACTACTCCTCACAGGATTTTTCTGAGGCTCAAATGAGTATATAAGGTGCTCTGTAAGCCTAAAGCACTATAAAAAAGGCAGTTGTTATCATCATTGTCTTTACTATTATCATGACTGCTTAGCAAACATCTAATGACTATAGATCATCCCAACCTGGATGTCTATACTGTACCACATATGCCCCAGTGTTACTTAAGTAATCACAGTGGCTTAAGAGGCAGGTAGGGAAAGCCCAGCTGTTTGCCACCATAGCCCAGGACAAATTAACTCTAATTTTTCAGTTTTTTTTTTAAACTCTTAACCACAAAAGGTTCATCACATCTTTACAAAGGATAACACTCTGATGTCATGTTTCCTGTGGGCAAATGAATATATTGTAGGAAGACAGTGTTTTGAATGTTAAAAATATGACCATGGAAGATTAAAGTCTCTGTACAGTCCCTGGTCTAAGAGAACTTAAAATACAGGAAAAGGTACAACACCCTACAAAAAAAAACTAAATCAAATTAGAATGTGGAAAAGTGGACAATGGATCATACTAATTCACTTAATTTCTTTTTTAAAGTTCAATGTAAATAACGGGGTGTCCATCCATTTGAAAATGGCTTAAAAGATTACGGTATAAAAATGTAGAAAAATATTATTATGCCATAAGAAATTACAAAAATACATGTTTTCAGAGGAATTTGAGAAGTCTTATATGAAATGATGCAAAATGAATTGAAAAGATTCAAGAGAACAATTTCTTCATTAACAACATAAAGAAAAATAACTCTTTGGACATGGCCAATGTCAGATTTTGTTTTGCTTGACTGAACATTTGTTCAAAGGGTTATTCTTTTCTTTTTTCTTCTTTAAACAGAGAAAGGAAAATTCCTGTCCCCCACCCACAAATGAGAATAGAAAGAATCATAAACAAAAGAACCACCCTGAAAGTTACATGTGTAGACAGAAAAAGAGCTCTCAGGGGACAAATGATTTCCCCTTTAAATCTTCAAGTATTTAGAAAGCAAGCTGGTATTGGACTGGTCTTAGAGCTAAAACCGAAAGCAATGGGTAAAACTTTCTAATAGACAGTATCATCGTAACAACAAAAATAATGACAGTTGGGGCAGCTAAGTGGTGCAGTGAATAAAACACAAGCCCTGGAGTTAAAAGGACCTGAGTTCAAATCTCAGACACTTGAGACATGCTAGCTGTGTGACTCTGGACAAGTCACTTAACCCCAACTGCCTAAGCAAAAAAAAAAAAAAAAAAAAAGACAGTGACAGCAACATTTATGGTACCTACTATTCGCCAGGCACTACGCTAAGCACTTTACAAATATTATCTCATTCAGTCCCCAGAACAGCCTTGGGAAGTAGGTGCTATTATTATTCCCATTTTACAGTTGAAGAATCACAGGCAAACAGAGATTAAGGGACTTGTCCAACGTCACACTAGTAAGTTTCTGAGTCGGATCTGATTCCAGGCCTGGTGTTCACTGTGCCACCTAGCTTCCTTAAATAAAGCTTGATATTAGAAAGAACTAGAACTGTCTAAAGTTGGAATGGGCTGGCTCAGGGTTCACCTTCACAGGAGGTCTTCAATCAAATGGCCACTTCTCTAGTATATTGTAGTAATGCTTCTTTTTGGGTATCAGACTAAATGGTTACTGAGGCTTCTTTTCAATTCTGTAATTCTGTGACGATGAGAACAACGTATTCCAAAAAAATCCCATTTTAAGCTGTATTAATAGAAGTACAGCATCCAAAATAAAGAGTCTGCAGTACTCCTCCTTTATCAGACACATAGATGCAGCTCTGGGTGCCATGGTTTAGGAAGGTGGTTGACAAACTGAAACGCATTCAAGAGAATGTGGCCTGGAGTAAGAGGGAACAAAAAAACCATACTGTATGGTTAAAAGAACTGGGAATGCTAAGCCTCGACAAGGGAAGCTTAGGAAGACAGGTGGAAAAGGAAATATTTACAATCTTTAAATATTTGATGTGTTGCATGGGAAAGTGAGACAGAAATACATTGGCTAAACTTAAGAAAAGACTTTGTAGCAAACAGAGCTGCCAGAAAATGGAATGGGTTGTTCTGTGAGATGGTGAGTTTCCCGTCACTTGAAGTATGTAAGCAGAAGCTGGAAAAACACTTGTCAGTAATATCATAAAGCAAATTCACAAGGAGAAGGACTAGATTGCCTCTGAAGTCCCTTCTAAACTGAAGCGTCTATAAAGCCCCAATTCTCCATTTTCTCCCATAATTCCCCACTTATATCCAATTTTAGCTCCTTACCCTCACTATTGCTTTATATTTTTCTTCTAAACCTACTCCTCAAGTACAAATTACTATCTTCTTTAGCACGTGACCAAAGGATACATATCAAGTATAAAAACAAAAATTTAAGAATACTGATAAAGGATCTAAGGCATAGGTCACAAGACCAGAGCTTCAGAAACTAAAAGAAACATTAGAGTTAATCTAGTACAAAACACACAAAGTATTCTTTCCACAATGCCATACTCCAGGATTCAAATAATTACAAGAAAAACCAAAAATGGGGCACACAACTACCTGCAATGATACTTTCCCTAATTTTTCCGACTCTCCAAGGGTCAAGAATCTTAGGGGCCATAACCTTTACCCAGTTTGACTGAAAAGAGTCCATATGGTTCCTACTCAATCCATGAGTAAAGGGACTAGCTCTGGTCCCAATGCTTAATCACTTTGGGCAATTAATGGAAATAATAAATTCTGCTCAGAAAAAAAAGGATTTTTTTTTTTAAAGATTAAAGCTATTCTAGAATCCACATTTATCAATAAAGAACACTTTAGGGGCAGCTAGGTGGTACAGTGAATAGAGCACTAGCTCTGGAGTCAGGAGGACCTGAAATCAAATCCAGCCTCAGACGCATAACACTCACTAGCTGTGTGACTCTGGGCAAGTCACTTAACCCCAACTGCCTCACCAAAAAGCAAAAAAAACAAAAACAAAAACAAAAAAACAAAAAACATTTTAAAAGCATTAAATTGTATTCAATATTACCTACCCCATTTTCAGAATGTTTCTCAGCAGATGTACTTATTCCATTTCTTTGATTTCTTTGATCCTGGATCTGACGGCCACCTACAAAGGATAAGTATCAATCTTACTAAAAACTTCAAATGAAAAAAGATTTCTCCAATTTCTTAATTTGATTTACTCATTAAACACGGTTTACAAGCTTGGTATGTGCATGACACTTTGGCAGTCATCAGGATCTAATCACACAATCCAAGGATTTGTGAGTTGGAAGAGAATCTCAGGAAGAACTTAGTTAAACTCCTTTAATTTTACAAAGGATGAAACAGAGGCAGAGAAGTGACTAGCATGAAGTCACCAAGACTGTAAACAGCAGAGCTATGGTTCAACCTAGGTCTCTGGAATCCAAGTTCAGTGTTCTTTACTTTAAAAACAAAAACATACAACCTCTCATTTAAGGTTAAAGCTAAGCCTTTCTTCTTTTACAGAAGTTTCATAAAGTGTCAAAGTTGGTGAGCTCTTAAGCAAGGCTTTTTCCTTCACATAGGATGTCCCAAAAGTCTTAGTGCCATTTTTTAGGATAGTCCATATTAAACTAAAATTTAATTTAACACACTCAACAATGGAAAAATATTAATATCGCCTTAAAAACATTTAAGAAAAAAAGCTACACTTCCATGTAATAAAGTGGATAGAAAACAAATTGTGGTTACAATATGATCTTATGGCCTCAAGTAAGGCAGTTTTGTGAACCACCTTGTTCAATACAATTCATTGTCTAGAGATAAATAGAAATCTCAATTCATCTAACCTTAAAACTTATTTATTTAAAATTCTGGTCCCTAGTCTTTTTTTCCCTACTCAAGAAAAAGTATAATCTACAATATTATAACTAACATATGTAATAGTTAGCTAGTACTCTCAATATTAGAATCTCTCTTTAATGTTAGTCCCTATACCCTGAATGGCATATATGACCACTTGTTTGGAGAAGAATAAAATAGACAACAAAGGAGGAGGAAAATAGACAACAAAGGAGGAGGAAAATTAAAAAACTATATTTTTCAAGTGGTAGTTTCTATCTAGAGAAATACAAATACAGTTTGACAAACAGGTCACAGTTCAGAGGCAGAGAGGGGCACTAGTGCTTGCGGCTGCAGGAGAGCAGAAGCCCTTCCTGACTAAACACCAGAGCACTGACCGGAAGAGCAGTGACCATTCCTCTCTCCCAGAATTATACTATCTTGGAAGCACCAAAAACTTTCAGGCCCTCAGAACTAGCTCTAAAAAAAAAAGCAGCACAAAAGCTTGGCACGGTGCTTCCCTACTCTCAGGTGAGCAGAGCCCAACTTTAACATAAAGTTCAAAGTCAGGAAATAGGCTGGAAGTATGAGCAAAAAGCAAAAAAAGAACATGACAGGTAACAGGGAAGACCAAAACATAGTAACAATAATAGTAACTAGCAGTTACCTAGCGCTTTAAGGTTGGCAAAGCACTTCTAAAATGTTCATTTTATCCTCACAACAACTCTAGGATTTTCATATCCATTTTACAGATGAGGAAACTGAAGTGGACAGAAGTTAAGTGACTTGCCCAGGATCACATAGCTAGTATGTGCCCGAGGCCAAATTTGAAGTTAGGTCTTTTTTTTTTTTTTAAATAATATTTTATTTTTTTCCCCAATTATATGTAAAGCCAAATTTTAACATTCTTTTTTTTTTTAATTTTGAGTTCTAAATTTTCTCCCTCCCTCCTTTACCTTCCCCCTCCCTACAAGAGAAAGCAATTTGATATAGGCTATGTATGTGCAATCATATAAAACATTATTTCCATATTAGTCATGTTGTAAAAGAAGAAACAGAAAGAAAGAAAGTTAAAATACTATGCTTCAATCTGCATTCAGATTCCAACAGTTCTTTCTCTGGATGTGAGTAGCATTTTTCCTTTGAGTCCTTTGTACTTGTCTTTGGATCACTGTGCTGCTGAGACTAAGTCATTCACAGTATCATCATACAATGTCGCTGCTGCCGTGTACAATGTTCTTCTTCTACTTACTTCACTCAGTATCAGTTCATGTAAGTCTTTCCAGGCTTTTCTCAAAGCATCCTGCTCATCATTTCTTATAGCACCATAACATTCCATCACATTCACATACCACAACTTGTTCAGCCATTCCCCAATTCATGGGCATCCCCTCAATTTCTAATTCTTTGCCACCAGAAAAAGGGCTGCTAAAATATTTCTATACATGTAGGTCCTTTTCTTTTTTTTCTCAATCTCTTTGGGATACAAACCTAGCAATGCAATTGCTGGATCAAAGGGCACAGTTTGATTGCCCTATGAGCATAGTTCTAAATTGCTCTTCAAAATGTACCTATTGTATTGGGTTTTGTTTTTTTTTTGTTGTTGTTGTTGTTTTTTTTTACCAGCTCCTATTTTTTTTTATCAGCTCAATAGTTTTCTTACTTTCAACTTCCTTAATCTCAACTTTGGTTTTTAGGATTTCCAATTTGATCTTTAAAGAGATTTTTAATTTCTTCTTTTTCTAGGTTTTTTAGTTACATGACCTACACTAATATGCTCTTTCTCTATTTTATCAACGTAAGAGTTTAGAGATATAAAATTTTCCCCTAAGTACCACTTTGGCTGCATCCCACAAATTTTGGTAAGTTGTCTCATTGTTATTCTCTTTGATGTGAAGTTAGGTCCCCTTGACTCTAGGTTCAACACTTTATCCTCTGGCAACATTCTAGAACATAGTGAGGGGATAGTGTATGAACACTCAGAAAAAGAAGCAGTAATACCTAAAGTGAATATGGCTTCGTTCAGAATAGGTCATAACAGGACATCATTTCCATTTACTAGTTGAGTAGCTAGTATGTAGTTTATGTTTTATATGTTTTTGCTTTATATGATTGCACATATATAGCCCATATCAAATTGCTTTCTCTTGTAGGGAGGGGGAAGTTAAAGGAGGGAGGGAGGTGGCTTATGGCTGCAGACATCTATCAAATACTTTGCTGAAGGAAAGGTATGCTGTCAGGCTATCCTCACGAACAAGAGGGAAAGACAAAGCTGATAGTAGTAAGGCAGATTCAGAATGACCACATCCAAAGAGAAGTCAACAGGGAATAGATGACATGGTGGAAGAAAGTCTTCAGTGAAGTAACCCCAAGGGTCTTTCATTGAGTTTAATCCTGTTCAACACACGTTTACTAGTGACCTGAAGACAGAGACCGCATATCTGTCAAATTTGTTGAAAACAAAATTGTGCGCTATCTTCAAAATATTTGATGACTGTCAAGATCTTAAGAAGCTAAATCTTAAAATCTTAAGCAAAATCTTAAGAAGCTAAAACAACAGAACAAAATTAAGTAGGATGAAATACAGATAAAGATCTTACACTTGGATTTTAAAAATCAATTTTACATGTGTAACACGAAGACTGGGGGGTGAGGGAGAGGCAGCTAGAAAAGGACAGTGGTTGAACCCATGATTTAATTGGAAGGAAACCCATTCTACAACTGCAGCTCAGCAACTGTTCTTTAATTTACAGTCCTAGAGCATTTCTTAGAGGGCTGAGTCACTGAACAGAATGTGTCAAAAGCAGGAATTGAATCTAGGTCTTTCTGGGCCCAAGGCCAACTCTCTATCCACTCAGTACTCTGCCTCTCATGTACCTAAACAGCAGGTTGCAAAGGTGTTTCCAGGGTAAAACAAAAAACAAAAACAAAAACAAAAAACTAAGGGTTTTAGTGAGCTGAAAGCTCAACTCTGAATAAATAATTAATGTAATACTGGGATTCATTAAGAGAAGTATGATCTAGCAGGAAGAAGGGAGAGAAGTACACTGGGAAATTAAGGTAATATAAAAACAAAAGATAATTATTTTAAAGGGAGAGATGTAGAATATATAGGACACATGAAGTAACTAGCCCTGCCTTGGTCATCCTACTTTTGTAATGCTTCATTCAGTTCTGGCACCATAATGACAAACACCATACTTAGAAAGGATAATCAGGATGATGATGAGAAGAAAAAGAACTATAGCATAAATATAAAAGGTTGAAATCATCTTGTAAAGCAGATGTCAAATTCACTTGCAAACGCTGCTACAACAGATAAAATATGATTGGTAAATGTTTAACAAAAGAAATAAAAATCCAATACAACACAGACATTGTTATTTTGTAGTTTTCTTAAGTCAACCTGCCAAGTGAAGACTGAAGACCAAAGAAACATCACAGGGGAAGAGGGTTAGTTCTGTAAGAATTTTCTTAAGAAGCAGCAGCAAGAGGCAGAGCCAAAATGCTAAAATAATTAGTGAACAGCTGTTTGGACTTGCTTGCACTGTCCAAAGAGAGCCAATCTGATGAGCTTTGCAATTCTCTATATTAAAGGAAACTAAAATGGTAACACCTCCATGGGGTGATTCAGTTGAAAGAACTCGCAAATCAAAGTTTCTTAACCTTTTTTTGTATGGAGGACCCCTTGGGCAATCTGGTCAAACCTATGAACTCTTTTTCTGAATAAAATTTTTAAGTACATAAAATAGGATTACAAAAGAAAAAAGTTATGTTGAAATAGTTGTCACAATATTTTTTAAAGAATTAACTTCACAGATCCTACGTTAAAAACCCCTGTCACAAATGTTTTGCTGATTTGAGAACAGACGACTTGCCCAGCTAGAGAATGATGAAGATCAGAAAGGGAGCTGTTAGCAAACAGGCAACTTCCTGTGGCACACAGATGTTCCAAAAGGGACCAGTGAATTAAAAGCCTGAATTCCAGAGCTGTGAGTCATGTGGAGAACATCAATTTTCCTTACTCAAGTATTTCCCTGCCAGTCTTCTATAAGTATGAGACCATTCTCTTCCATAGATACTGAGCTCACTGGTGAGAGAATGTGACCCAGCTTTATGTACAGATTGTGATAGATTTATGATTCCTGCATTTACTTTAATACATAGTCCCTATGAAGTCATTATTTCTTTCCCCTCACTACTAAGTAAAGAATTATGTTTAAAATATAAATGTGTCATGATTATTAGGGGCTTGTTTTGTGTAGATGAAAGTCCATCAGTGGAACTCAACAGGTAGAGTGACATGTAAAGGGAGTGTATTTCCCTGGGAATTTGAGAGATTGAGTATAGCTAAATGGTAGTGACCCTTTTCTAGCAATCCAGATCTGCCAGTGTTGGGGCAGGTTGGGGTGATTAAAGCAGACCAGAGAGTATAGGGAGTAACATTCTAGATACCCCTAGCATAAAAGAAAAAACCTCAAGTGTACAAGAAAAAATAACTTCCTAACAATTAGAGCTACCCAAAAAGAAATGGGCTGTGCCTCATGAGGTATTAGGTTCCCCCTCATTGAGTACTGCAGCTGTAGGTTGCAATGATAGATATTAAGGAGATGATGGGCACACTAATTATCAATCTTATCATTTTAGGGGGAAAAAAGGAAGTTTCATGAGTAAATACAGCATTCAGATTCTCTTTAAATAAACTTTTTGTTTAAAATAAACCTAAGTACACCTACCTTGTTCACTGCTCTCAGTTGGGGAATCCTCATGACGAAGGAAAAATTTCACTTCTTCTCTTCGGGGCCCCCACTTTTGTAGATGTTCATACATCATATGATCAAAGGGGATAGGACGTTCTAGAACAAACCAAAATATACCTCATTTATCCCAGAAATGAGACAAGGGTCAAGATAGGAACAAAAGCAAATATAAATAAAATGTTTAATTTGAAGGTGTTACAGGCATTTAAAAGTTTTTATTTGCTTCCTAATTTCTCTGAGGCACTATTTTCTCAGTCCCCTAAGCTCAAAACCTAGACACGTTTTCTCTTCTCTTTCACTAAACTTCCATATCCATATGGTTCCCATGACCTGTCAATTCTACCCTGAAAATCTCTCTGTAGTTCATCCTACCAAACCACTACAACTTCAAATACTCTAAGTTCAGGTTTTTTGCCTAGACTGCTGTAATACCTTCCTAATTGGTGTCTCTGTTTCATCTCTTCTCCAATCCATCCATCAAACAGATGCCAGAGTAATCCTAATGTACAAGAATGAATGAATGAAAAAGCACTTAGTAAGCACTTACTAGGGGCAAAGCACTATGCTAAGCACTGGAGAAACAAACAGAAAAGCAAAACAATCTGAAATCTCTGAGCACGCAGTTTTTAAAGGAAAAAATCCAAGCTACTAACAGCCATATGAAAAAAATGGTAATAATTAGAGAAGTGCAAATTAAAGCAACTCTGAGGCTGCCTATCAGTTTGATGAATATGACAAAAACAGAAAATAACAAGTTGGAGGTGCTACAGGAACAGGAGCACTTACGTATTCTTGGAACTGTGACTTGGTCCTAACCACTCTGGAAAGTCACTTCAAACTAAATTGTGCATATCCTTTGACACAGAGATGCCACTTCTACACTTATATCCCAAAGCACATCAAAGACAAGAAAAAGACCTATATGAAAATATTTATAGTAGATTTTTTGTAGTGGCAAAGAACTGGAAACTAAGGGGGTGCTCACCAATTTGGGAATGGCTAAACAGATTATGGAATATGAATGTAATAGAATATTACTCCCAAAGAATACTGGGAAGACATATAAATTAACTGACACAGAGGTAAATAAGTACATTAATAACAACTTTGTAAAGACAAACAACATTAAAAGGCTTAAGAACTCACCAATACAAAGAGAAATTGATTCCTGAGGACCAATGCTAAAGCCCACTACCAATTTTCATGAAAAAGAGGTGAAACACTCAAGATGCTGAATGAGACAAATATTTTTAGATACAGGCAATATAGTAATCTGTTTTGTTTGAGTATGCATATTTACTACAAGGGTCTTAGGAGATTTTCCCCAATTGGGGAGGCAGGAAAAGAAGTAAATAAATACTTGCTAATTAAAAAAAATAAAATTTAAACTTTTTTTTAAAGCAAAGCAGTACCTTTTCTAATATAATACATCATGTAATAGTTCACACTAATGAGGTAAACAACACACAATCTTACTTATGTAACTCTTCACTGTTTATGTCATAAAATATAAATAAATGCCTTATGGTAGCATTCAATACCCTCCACAATTTGGCCCTAAGCCACATGTCCTATCTCATCAAGAGGGTAACTTGGGACCACTGGTTCTACCAGGCAGCTGGTGGTACAGTAGATAACAGGAAGGGCCCAAAAGCTGGAAAACCTGAGTTCAAATCCAATCTCAGACACTGACTAGCTGTGTGACTCTGAGCAAATCACTTCACTTCTATCTGCCTCAATTTCCTCAACTATTTTCTCAGTCCCCTAAGCTCAAAACCTAGACATGTTCTCTCTTCTCTTTCACTAAACTTCCATATCCATATAGTTCCCATGACCTGTCAATTCTACCCTGAAAATCTCTCTGAAGTCCATCCTCTCAACCCACTACAACTTCAAATACTCTAAGTTCAGGTTTTTTTGCCTTGGCTGCTGTAATACCTTCCTAATTGGTGGGGGTCAATAGCCCCTACCTCCCAAGGTTGTTGTGAGGATCAAATAAGACTAAATTTGAGAAGTGCTTAGCACAGGTGCCTGGAACGGAGAAGGTGCTTACTGAGTGCTTGTTTTTCTTTCCTTTCTATTCATTGGCCAGTCTGGACTACTTGCCACTCCCTAATCCTGTCCTGCTCTTCTCTGCTTCTATGCTTTCAGACACATCATCCTCCATACCAAAAAAAGTCTCCCCCCCATATCTCTATCTGCTCAAATACTTCCCCTCTTTCAAGGGCCAGCACAGGTACAAGCTCCTCCAGAAAAATTTCTCTGCAAAAAGGAATCTCCTCCATATCTGTTTGGACTTTGTCTTACCTTCTCTATTAGATTATAAGTTCCTTAAAGGTAGGAACTGTGTCTTGGTTCATCTCCATATGCCCAGGACACAAAGATAGAGCAATGCACAAAGTAAGCCCTTAACAAATATTTGTTGAAGTAGTAATGAGAATTTTAAAATTTCACAGATAAAATTTCATTCATCACTATTTTTCTTTTCCTTCACATTAACAGTAATCTCAAGCTACCACCTCTATCCATCACCATGAGGAAGAATTATTAAATGAAGAAAATTATAGGGAGTCATAAGCCTGTCTCAGTAAACATTTTCCAATAGCTAGAACACATATGTTCTCCCAGTAATGCTCTATGGTTGCAAATTTCAGAATACCACAACCTCTAAGAAACCCAAATTGCAAGTAAACCCAAAGAGAAATGAACAGATGCCTGATGGGTACAACTGATAAATTTCCAATGATGGTTTATGAACAAGAAATGGCATATGATTATCAAATGTACTGTAGGAAAAAGAGGCAGTTAGAGCAAAAAACAACCTGAGAGTTCCACTGGTAACCACGAAACATAAGAAAAACTAGAATAAGGCCTCCACGCATGTGGGAAGGATTGTCTGAGGAATCTAGGAAGAACACTGGTTACACAGGATTGGCTATCACCTGTGCCAATGAAGACAGTACTCTTCACTGAGATCAGAGATCCACTGAAGAAGAACCCTATGGAGGGCCTGCATAGATAGTGCAAAACTGATGATAGGATTTTTTAAAAGGCTAACTGTACCTCAAAATAGTGGCAGAGAGGACTGTTAGCAGTTTGATCACCTGAAAATTATTGCTAAAGTATTTGGAATCCTAAAAGAAAAATAATTACAGCTAGTCTAGGATCCTGATGGTAAAACAAAGAAAGAATTATGATACTTTCTGAGAAAAGCCCAAACATCAAAAACTTATTCTCAAAAGAAAGTTATCAGCAAGATAATCATCACCTTGGCCAAACCCTGCTCCTATTTCTCTATGCTTTCTAAATTTCCTATTCACTTTCTTAAGGAACGGGCAAAGGCAGAAGTATAAATTGGGCAAAAAAAGAAAAACAAATGTTCCTTGTCTTTCTTAGCCACTTGGGAGTACATAGTGAAACTATTCCCCAGGCATGAAAACCAAGGTAAATATTAAAAAGTCAAGCATCCTTGCAAGTTAACTTACTTATTATCTTTAAGCATAGATCTGCTCATCTGCAAGATGAAGGCATTGGACCAGATAACTGAAGGTCCCATCTAGTTTTAAATTCTAGGAGCCTAAAAGAAAGGAATGAGGTTCTGCCAGCTCTGTAATTCAACTAAGTAGTACGTTTAATATAACTCATCCATTTAGTCATCTATCTGGCTTACTTTGGCCACAGAAATTTTAGTTTGGCTATATTAGAGGAAACAGTCTTTAGACCACAAATCCCCCAAACTAACTTGCAGTTCTTATCTCCAGACCTCATATAGTATCTTTCTCTAATTTATTATTTATTTTCCACTTTTTTAATTTTTGCTTTTGATTTCCAAATTCTCTCCCACTCTCTCCAATTCTGCACCCTTGGCTGGGTCTCCAGGGCTTTCCACCTCCCAGGCAGCTAGGGGTGGCAGAATAGAGAGGTATTGCTTCTCTTTTACCAGTCAATGCTTCCAAGCAGCAGGTGACAACCCAGGGAGGCACTGACCTCTCTTCCATGAAGCTCTAAGGTCTTTTATTATACAAACCCTTCATAATTCAGGGCCAAGTCCTTCCAGTGAAAAACCTCAATCTAGTTTATGGTGATTGACCAGTATATTAACAAATCATCATCTCAGCAGGCTAAGTCATAAACAGGTAATTTACAAATGGCCAATAATCACAAAACAGTTCAGAGTTTCCAGCTATCAACTCCAAAGTACTCCCATCAGTCAGATGCAAATAAGCCACAAAAGCTGACTCAGTTCTAATAAGGTCATTCTGTAAGTATCCTGATTTCTTAGTGTTTGTTTTTTTAACTTAAGGTTTACATTTTTCTTTGTCTTCGTCCCTCTCAATCGTCAAAATTTAGAGTACAAAAGGGGCACACTTTTATGCAATGATTGCATCTTTCACTCCTGCTCTTCTTTAGAACTCATTTTGCAGCCTGCTTCTTTTCATTGCCCTTTGTGTGATTTTTAAATTTTTAAAATATTGTTGTAATACTAATCATAACCAGAATTTACATAGCACTTTAAGGTTCAAAAAGCACTTTAAAATAGTACTTTACTTTATCCTCACAAAAAACTCAGGAAGGTAGGTACTATTATCCCCACTTTATAGATGAGACAGGCAGAAGTGACTTGCCCAAGGTCACACAGCAAGTTGAGACCAGAATTGAACTTGGGTCTTCCAGATGAGGTAAATGAGGCCCTTCTCTCCTCCTTTTCCCTCCACTCCCTCTGTTCACATAGGGAATCATATCATTACCTGGGGGTGCGCTGCCCAAAGGAATATAAATTTTGATTGCTGAAACCTCACAAGCTGTTGACTTTGGAAACCACATGTTCAGAAATCGTGAGGCACTAACTTTACAAAGAACCTCGACATATCACTCCATTACATACAAAAAAGAAAAAAACAGCCAGGAAACAAAAGCCCACTATCACGGTCCATTGGCTCGATCTGCTATTCCTCCACCAGACACCTAACCTCCCAACTCCAGGCACTTTCACTAACTTTCCACACACACTCAGCCCTAGAACTCTCTTCTACCTCATGTTTGACTCCTGATTTTCCTGGCTTCCTCCACATCTCAGCTAAAATCCCACCTTTAGT